GTCGCGGGTCCGCAGTCTCGGCCTGCGCGCCTGCAGCTCCACTCGCACCCGAGCGCCGAGATGGATTTTTTGATATGGATTTTTTTTTTCTTTCCAGTTTTGGAGGTAAGCTTGGCTAAGTGTTTATCAATCTTTTTTATCCTTTCAAAGAACAAAATCTTTGATTCATTGATCCTTTGTGTTTTTTAGTCTCAATTTTGTTATTTTCTATTCCTTTCAATCTTTATAATTTTTTTCCTTTTAATAGTTTTAGAAAGTGGTTTTCCCATTTTTCTGGGACCTTGAAATGCATCATTAGTTTATTTATTTAGGATTACTCTCTTCTTATGTGTTCTTTCAAAATTATAACCTTCCCTCTTAGAACTGGTTCATGGTGTTTAGGCATATTGTGCTTCCATTGTTGTTTGACTCCAGAAACTTTTAAATTTCTTTTGTTGTTCATTGTGATCCATTGCTAGTTCAATAGTGTATTGTTTAATCTCCATGTTTGTATACTTTTCATAGCTATTGATTTTCAGTTTCATTCCCCTATGATCTAATAGCATACAGGACATTATTTCAAATATTTTTTAAATTTATGTAAGCAAACTTTTTGGTCTAAGAGATGGGATGGTCTATTTTGGAAAAAAAGTTCCATATGCTACTGAAAAATAGGTGTACTCTACTGTTATTATATGAAATATTCCATGGTTATTTGTTCAGTGGTGTTTAACTCTAATATTTCCTTGTTAATTTTTTGTCCAGTTAGCCTATCTGATTATGGAAGTGGAGTGTTATCTATGATAATATTAGTGTCTATTGATCCTTTTATGTCCAGTATTAGTTTTGGCCTCATGAAGTTGGGTGCACCAAAATTTGATGTGTAGATATTTACAATTACTATCTCTTCTTGTTGAATTGTTCTCTTTACTGGTGTGTAGCAGCCACCTTTGTCTTATCAATTTTGGCTTGAAGTTTGCTGTGTCTGAAACTAAGACAGGCACTCCTCCTTGCCTTTGGGCTCTTGCTTGCATTTTCCACATCTCTAGGCCATGATCTTCCCCCTGGAGGAGGTGTCTCTCCTATAGCAATATATGGTTAAATTTCAGGTTTTGATCCAATCTGGCAGTCTGTTTGTGAATTGTATCTAGATACCTTCCTAAAATTATGAATTAATTATAATTGTTTAGAAATTCCTTTTAGATTTTCAAAGGATGTTGTCCTCTGCAAATAATAGTAGTTATTTCATATTTTTTTCTTCTTTTTGCCTGTTGCATTTGCTAGGATTTCCAATGTATGGTGATAGTAGACATCTTTCTTTTTGGTACCAGGAATTGAACACATGACATGTGCTTGCCAGGCAGGTGTGGTACCACTGAACTATCTCTCCAGCCCAACATGTTTATTTTGTTCTCAAATTAAATGAGAAAACATTTTATGCTTTATTAAGTGTAAAATTAGTTTAGCATTTTGTTTATATGTTCATTTATTTATTTATTTTTTTTGTGGTACTGGGGATTGAACTCATGATCTTGTGCTTGCCAGGCAGGTGCTTATGCCACTGAGCTATAATTCTTGGCCCTTATTTGTTTATTCATTTATTGAATTATTAAAATTATTTTCTGTTTTAGTTTTCTAGGAGCTTAGAAATATCTTGGACAGATGTCCAATTTTATCAATTGCTATTCTAGATCAGTTAAAATTATCACATTTCTCCTTTTTTTTTCTGATTGTTTCACTAGTGATAGTGTTTGATTTTTGAACATTAAAGAATTCTTTCATTCATTGGAGATTTTCCTGTCTATGTCCATGAGAGATATGGACCTGTACTCTTCATTTTTGTAAGGTTTTTGTTGAGTTTTTGCATCATGATTATTCTGTAATTTTGTAGCCAGTTGGGATGTGTTATTGTTTCTTTATTCACTGAATGAGTTTGTGTATGTAAGTTTGGCAATATCATTTCTTAAATGTGTGTATTAAAGAATTTAGAGTGAAGAAATCTGGCCTGGATTTTTCTGGTGGGAAAGGTATCTGGAAATCTTTATGTTTATTTTCTCATTGTACATTTTTTCTTTAGGATGTTTGCAGTGGACCAGAAAGAGGACACTTTTCATGAGATATTTTTCAAACACTTCAGAGAAAATAAGGTGGAGATAGCAAGTGCAATAACAAAGCCATTTCCTTTCCTAGAAAGCCTTAGAGACCACTCCTTTATCACCGACAAAATTTATACTGTAAGTGGTGTTACATCACCCCATAGTAATCTAAATCCACATTAATTCACATTTGATATCTTGGATTTAATGTTTGTTCTGTTACTGACTGGATGAGAGGGCTTTTATGTTTTTCATGCTGTCCTTTCCACAGCACAGGTATGCTGGGTCAGTGGAGTAGGTTCCTGAAAGATCACAGAAAACAGCTGGAGATGGCTTGAGAGAGATAAGGTTTACTTAAACTTACTGATAGGTACAAAAAGGACATACAGGGTTGGTAGTAACTAATAGAGAAATGTCCATGAGAGGAACGAGGGGTTCAACAGCACTGCATGGAAGGTCCTCAAGGGGTTCGTACTCAGCAACAGCAAAGCTTTGCCAAAAGCCATAACGATGTGCCCTCCACCAAAGTGCTACTCAGAAAGTCCATAAGGCTGCCTACTGAGAAGCACACCTCTCAGGACTCCCAGTGGTGGTGGGCTGGACAACTATGCACCAGAAAGTAGCCCAAGCGTCTGGTGGTGGCAGGCTGGACTATAGCATTCCATGCCCAGTTCTTACAGAGAGGGGGTTTCATAGAGTAAACTATACGGTGGTTACATCATTAGCTTTATTTGATCCATGGTATGAGCAGCATTCCAGGGAGTGGTTGACTTAGCTTCTGGGTTCTAGACAGCGCTAGTTTGCCTCATTCCCCAGGCTCTTCAGACAGTCATTACTTGGACAGTCTGGACTCTGTCTACTGACAGTGTGTCCTTGACTTGACAAGAGTCTTGGGATATGAAAGAGTGCTTCAGGGACATGGTGCTAACTGCTCTAGTTTTTCCCAGGGGTGATGTATGAGAGGAGACTCTTGTATCTTGGTTAATCATAAGGTAGAAAGTGACATAACAAGTAGATGTCATGACAGATGTCACTGTTTCTACTTGAAGCCCTTCTCTTCTAAATATCTTGGAGTGGGCATGAAGCTAATGATGCTATGATGGAACTGAAAATGATAAACTTGAAGAAGTAATGATTTATACCCCATGGCAAAATGAAACCATGATCGAGAGAGTTAGAGCACTACTTTATTATGACATCTTCTTATATCAGATGTGATTCCCCAGGGAATTTATACTATAATAAAACAAATTTGTGTTGTCTCTTGCACAGTGTTTAGATTCTGTTAGGTGGTTCTGAAACCCTGGGATTCAAGTAAGGTTAAACAGTGGGCCCTTCTGGGTACGTGGAGTGAGAAACCATACTCTCCATGTGGATCCCACTTTCTCCTGTGTGTTCTCCACAGCCAGGGCAGAGCCTCCTCCCCACATCCAGTGCTCTTTCCAGGCACGGTGTCCCTGAGGTGGGACATAGGAGGGGGTGGGGACCTCTGGGCCATAGATGGAGTTGCTATAAGATACTTCTTAAAAATATCCTAGGCAGGAGGAGAGTTTAAAAGTGACAAGAACTACTCGTTTATTCTTTTAAACAGTTAATACTTAAATTCTTAAATATTGCATGAAAAATGTTAGCCTAGCTACACTGAGAAAGTAGACTAAGTCTTTATGCAGTGACTTCCTGATCTCTTTTTAACTTTGAAGCTATGATTTTATATATCTTTCCCTTTTTGAAAGGATTCTCAAGAAGCCTGTAACAACATGGTCCCTGTAGAAAGAGTGGTGTACCATGTTCTCTGTCACCTGGAGAAGTCCTTGGATTGGTCCTGTATACAAGCCTTGTTCAGCAGAATTCACCTGAAAGAGTATCCTGGCTTAATTCAGATCCAAAGAAGCTTTGAAAATGGTAATTGATTCACTCCCGTCTGTCTTGGGGGTCCTTTACATTCATGCATTTGCTTAGTTACTTACTTAACAAGCGCGCATGGAATCTGACCTTGTCTCAGAACCTGAGCCAGGAAATGGGGACCTAATTGGGTTGGCATTTTGGCCTCCTCTTTTCTGGGCAGCCTTCTGGGGTCCTGGAATTCTCACTCCATGCTTGAGCCTAGAGTTCCTTTCCTTCTGGGACTATCCCTGCAAAACCTGTCTGTTCCTTCTGCTGTCCTCCGCTCAGTCTCCTTGGTAAATGCTTATTCTTCTTCACTGCACTAAGCCCAAACTCCCCTCTTTTCTAGCCTCATCTTTAATGGGTAATCTTTTTCTTTTTTTTTTTAGAACTGGGGATTGAACTCAGACCCTTGTGCTTGCCAGGGAAGCGCTTATTCTACTGAGCCGTCTCCCCAGCCCCTCTAGCCTCATCTTTAAGAGCTGTTGGAGTCTATTTGTATTTCTCTGCAGTCTTAACCATTCTCTATAGGAAATCCCTATTTCTCCCCTAAGATTTGCACAATTCACAGGAATATTCCACTTATAAAATTTACATTGAGATATTCCACTCTTCAATGATCACATAGTTAGCTGAGCAATTGATATTTATTATTTTTCCACTGCATCACCACCCTCAAACCTTAGAGGTTCATTGCTTCTAGGATTTCAGTGTTTTTTGTTTTGTTTTGTTTTATTCTTTTTTTTTTCTTGGTTGACCTAGCTATCTTGAGTCATGAGCCACTGAAACTCAGAGTGACCTGAAGTCTAGGAGTTCTCCACACAAGTATAAGAATTCACAGCTGTTCCGTCTTGCAACTGTTTCCCCATCCATGTAATTGTGAAATGGTGCTCTTGATCATCTGCCTGCAAGCTCTAATAACGTTTTTCCTCTGTTCAGTGCTCCAAGAAAAATATATTTCCCAGAAAACCAATAGAGAAGAGAAGCAAAAGACACTCCACACTCAGCAAAGCTGTGAGAAAGGTACTTATACCTGGATAAAAAGTAGGAGTTCTGGCCAATTGAGAAGCAAAGGAGACAGAGACTGAGCTCTGAAGAGGAGTTGGTACAGGGCAGGGAATTCTAGAGGAGCATGGACGAGGTAGTTGAGCATTGTCTAGTATAGAATCCAAAATTACCTCACTCCATATAGAATCTGGAAACATTAGCAAGAGGCAGCAGAGACTTTCTGCCTAATAAACTGAAAGGTGTGTTAGACTCTGAGTGTGAATTATGAGTCTTCATAAGAGAAGCTGTCAAGGGCTCAGAACTATGGATGGTCCTATGGTGAATGGGTCAATGAGGAGATCCTTGATGTGAGAGCACGTATGGAACATGCCTAGGTTGAAATAAACAAAGGACGATTGAGGCGTTCTGACCAAGAGTCCAAGTTCTTCACCTTGAACTGGTACCCATGCGATCTAATAAAAGAGGTAGAAACATGCAGCAAAAGACAGAGAAATGCAAGCGAAAGAAAGATGCAAGAAACCAATCGTATCAAGAGTTGCAGGGCTTAGAGGTGACTCAGTCACCAGATCCTCAGGGGAAGGCCAACAACTAGAAGTCAACAGATATGCAGAAGGGATGTGGTGTGAGAGGAGGCAGGGACCAGGCAGCCAGGACAGGGAGGAAGATGGGAGGACCCCTAGGTAGGTAGGATGGCGCGTTGTCCAGGCTCACTTTGGCTGTGGAGGGCAAGATGAACCATTGCTAGGCACTGGAGTATCTCACAGGGGACATGGGGGGTTGGTGGTGTCCTGTGAGATGTTCAGCCGACAGTGGGGTGAGCCTAACCCCCTCTTTCAGGGCTGGAGTCTAACTTCAAAAAGCAAGTGGACCTGCCAACTCCAGAAGGTCTCTGGATTGGTGCTATGAAATGGGCTCTTTTAAGTCCTGCATGATAAAAACAGGAGGGAGATAGGGGAGAGCGGGGAAATCCATCATTTAACTTCTGAAATAAGTTTTTTCTCATTTGTTCCCTAGAAACTGATGAGACCTCTGCTTCACAAAGCCTCACGTTGTCCCAGGCAGAGCCCTCGGCTTCTGATGGTCTGTTCCTGTTGACGCATGTGTGATCTTTGCTGTCTTATCCCATCCAGGAATATGCTATTGTATACCTTTATATTTTTAATTTTAAAACAAATAAAATGCTATAAAAAGAATAAAGATGAAGCAATAAAAACAATACAAAATCTCAAAGCAAGATGGTAGGAGATTAACAAAGGTTGTTATATTGAATATTGTTATTTTCAAAATAGTTGTGGAGATTACCAGATATAGACATGCAAAATTGATCAGTTAGGCATTAATTGTTCCTTTCATCAAAACAATAGAAATTAGTAGTAAAATTATCATTCATCTATATATCTATATATCCCTTCCTTTTTTTTTTTCCTTTTCCCATCCTTGTTGCTCTTTCAAGTAGTTTTTTCCCCTTTCATTGTATCTATAGTACCTTTCAGATTTTATTAACTCTTTCAGTTAATAGAGAGATAATATGATGTTTACACATGCAGGTCTGATTTATTTCACTTATGAGCATGGTCTCTAGTTGCATCCATTTCCCTATAAAATCCTTGAGTTTATCTTTCTTTATAACTGAGTAATATTCCACTGTGTAAAAATAACACATCTTTTTTCTTTTTTGTCCACACTTCAGTTGATAGATGCTTGGATTGTTTCCAAGATTTAGCTATGACAAATTGTGCTGCTCTAAACATGGGAGCACATATATTGCTGTGGTATGATGTTTTTGTTTCTTCTGGAAAAATACCCAGGAGGGGAATAGCTAGGTCACATGAGACCTCTAATCCTAGTTTTTGTGAGGGATATCTGCACTGATTTCCACAGTCGTTGTACCCGCCTATATTCCCACCTGCAGTAGAGAAGGGTTCCTCTTTCCCCAGAGCCTCTCCAGCATTTGTTATTGGTTGACTTCTTGATGACAGCCATTCTTTCTGGGGTGAGATGGTATCTTAGTGTTACTTTGTTTTGTATTTCTTGCATGACCAATAATGTTGAATGTTTCTTCATATATTTATCCTGTGCTTTTGTATACTGTTTCCTTGCAAGTTTTAGCCTTTGCATTTGATATTTTTTCAAGTTTATGATTTAGATAACAGAATCTGGGTCTTCCATGTTGCTGGAGAGGGTAGATGGGTTTGAAATTCAATTAATTTACTAAAGCATTTAAATGAAGACATTATCTTTTTATTGATGATGCCATAGTGTCATATTAATGAAACCTCAGTGTCATTTAGGGGATATCCAATCTGGAGCTAGAACTGGACCCTCAGAGCCTATCTTGGACATGAAGGCCAAATATGTAAAGACAGAACATTCTGTCTGTGGCCCAGGTGAGGCTCTTGGAACTCAGCAAGTGAACCATGAACATGCCCGAGCAGGTTAGGCTGATGCCAGTCAGGTATTACATGGGTGACCAGTGGTGGGCATCTGTAGTCTGGACAGGAGCAGGGGAGGTATCACTAACGTATTGTGTGCCCAGTCTAAAGTGGAGGCCCTGAGAGTCCAAAATGACAGTGGAATGGACAGTGTCCACTGCAAGAGAGATTTGTATAACTAAAAAGGGTGCCTTGAAGTGTCTGTGGGGAGAACAGAGAAAGTCACAGAGATGGGAATAGCATAGGGTAGGAAAGGTGTACAGGAATTGACAGCAGAGAGGATGAGGACTGGGGTGGAGGTCATCACAGAAGGAGAGGGCAACAGGGAAATTGAATGACAGGAGAGGTCCAGGAGGGAAGCTGGTGAGCTCAAGAGGCAGAAGTGAAGCCCTACAGAGGAAGCAGCAACACCTGGAGATTGGGATCTTGGTAGAAATTTGAGGAGAGAGAAAGAGAGTGATGTTTAGCAGGCTAGACAGATGCAGGGCAGGGCTTGCTGCTGCTCAGCAGGCAGAGCTCTTTCCTCCTGAAGAGCTGTTCACTCTTGGAAGAGCTGTCCAGCCCTACAGCTCAGGGTGCCAGGCCTTGCTCCGTTTCCTGCTCATGGCTGGCTGTTATTTTCCTTTTTCTCTCTTCAGTTCCTGGTGAACTCAGTGCTTCCCAAATCGAAGAATTATTAGAAGAAATGCCCAGCTTCCTACCTCATAGCAGACAAGGTAACTCATCGAGTCCCCCATTTTCAGTGGCCATTTACCTGATCTGATCATTGCCAAGAGGGAAGACAGGCCATCTCCCTCTTTCCTCTGGTCTCCTCTGTCTGCTCTCCACATCCGTCCTCCGGCTGCTCTTAGGTGCGGGGAAGGTAAGGGGACTGAGGTTCAGGCTCTACCATGTAAGGAGCTACTCCCTTGTGTGAAGTGAGAAAAAGAGGAGCTGCGGGTGCACCCTGCATTTAGAGCAAGTGCGGGGTGAGGAGAGAGAAGGAGAACAGATTCCCTTTTAGGGAAGGGTCTCCTCTCAGTCAGTGAGAGGAGAGCGTCCAGTTGACCTAAAGGGACTTAAGATCCACCTGTGACAGGCAGGCTGAAAAGGAGGATACTAGACAGTAACACCACCCTTTTCAAGGTTGATAAAAAAAGAAACACATGGGGCTGGGGAGATAGCTCAGTGGAGTAAGCACTTGCCTGGTAAGAGCAAGGTCCTGGGTTCAATCCCTAGTACCACCAAAAAAAAAATCTATCTGTCCATATAGATAGATATAGATAGATAGATATAGATATATATATGCATGCAAGGGCCTGAGGGTTTTTTTTTTTTCTTTTGTGGAACCGGAGATTGAACTCAGGCCCTTGCGCTTGCCAGGGAAGCCCTTATTCCACTGAGCCATCTCCCTGGCCCCCGAGGGCCTGAGTTCAATCCTCGGTTCCACCCCCCCAAAAAAAATAGGTTGGTAGAGTTGGTGTGGAGATATACTGTACTCTACTCCTGAGGTTACAGCAAGAATGTGAGTATGCGTAACTGTCAGATTTGAAAGTGAAGTAATATCATTATGGAAGACTTCCAGGCTGCAAAGATGGGAAAGATTCTGTGGTAAGAAGTAATAGAAAGTGCCCGGTCCTCTCCATCAGGTGTTATTTTTTGATTTTTTGATTTTTTATTTTTTATTTTTTATTTTAGGGAAGGGTCTACAGGGTGTTCCGGGTCTCACTGTTAGATCAGACTTGTAGTGATTCACCTGTTTACAGCTTCCTAAGAGCTGGGATTATAGGCACACGCCACCAAGCCCAGTCTCAATTGTCATTTCAGTGCAGCCCGGGGGCAGGGCTGGCACAGCAGGTCCGGGGACTGAACTCCCGGCCCCTGCACTTGCTTTTAGGTACTTTAATCTGCAGAGCTATTTGGCCGGCTCTATTTTCTGAATTTTGAACACAGGTTATTTGTTTGCAAAGAGCATAAGCCACGCCAAGGTTGGTGGAGATTGATGCTATTACACCCAGCCGCACAGCTGAGAGCCACTGCTGCAGCCACAGGGTGTAATCATGTGGCTACACCAGGCCACTCGAGCAGAAGTGTCAGTGGGGCAGGGGCTGAGCCCTTCTTTAGCCAGCTCTGTGGGCCTGTGTCTCCTGGGGGCTGTCATTATAGCAGCAGCCACCCTCATCCTGAGGCTGCAGCAGCTACATTGCAGCCTCAGGAAGTGCAACCTGTCTGATTGATGGCATTAGCTGACTGCTTCTGTGGCTGCTGTGGCCACCCTCAGAACTGCTGCTGCATGTGCAGGTGCCATGCAGTGGAGGCTTTAGCCCTAACCACTGGTGCAATATACTACTGTCAGCTGGCCTTTGGGCTTGCAGGGGTCTTGGGGGGAGTGTCACCATAGCTGACAGGTGCATGGAGACAGATCCAACAAGTGTGCACAGACAGCTCTGTCAAGCACAAGTGAGGAGATCTCCCTCCTGACTGCTGCCTCCCTGGTGCAGCAGGATAAGGCCCAGTGAAACCTGAACAGTTAAGTTTTGTCTATTCATGATTTCTGTCTGAAACTGAGCAGACCAAGCTGGCAGCACAGACAGCTGGTGATGCTAGAGCCGCTGGTGCTCAGAGCTGCTAAGAGGAAGAGCTGGGCTGTGATGACACCAAGAGGAGTGGCTTTTAAAAAAATTTTTTTAGTTTTATTTTTTGGTACTGGGGATCGAACTCAGGACCTTGCGCTTGCTAAGCAGGCGCTCTTGCTGCTGAGCTACATCTCTGGCCCAGCACTTTGCTTTTTGTGATTTCTATCCAAATCGAGCAAAAGAACCTTTAGCTGGGATTAGTACCAACTTTCTAATATAACAAGACCTAACTGGAAAATAAACCCTAGCAAGTCATTACCATAGTGCTGGCCAGTGTCATACAGACTAGACCTCACTGTTGTCTTGTTCAGAGGCTGCGCTGTAAGGAAGGCAGGGCAAGGACGGACTGCTTAGGCTGACATTTTATCTCTCATTTCTAAGGCTGATTATTTTTCAGTTAAGTCTTTTCAAGGAAACACAGCAACAGCACAGGGCCCATGTCAAGGAAGGAGATCTTTGGTGAGGAAAGGACTCAATTTTTAAGACAAAAAAAGAGAAAGAAATTGGATAAGTGAGGGTCAATACAAGCTCCAGGTGAGCCCTAGGGAAACAGGGACTGAAGGAACTAGATGAGAGACATGGCAGAGGAGAGACATTGAAAATTCAAATGAGGGACAGTGACAAAAACGGTATGGAGACAGGGACATGGAGGGCAAAGTAAGTCTCAACAAAAGGGAAAGTGGGGAAAGACAACAAGGGGGCCAAAAAAGTATGAAGTGCAAGTGACATTGGTAGAGGCCAGTGGGACAGGCAGGAGATCCCTGACACACACACACACACACATATATATATATATATATATATATATTTTTTTTTTTTTTTCCTGCATTTTAGGGGAGGGTCTGCAGGGTGTTCAGGGTCTCACTACTAGATTGGACTCACAGTGATTCTCCTGCTTACAGCCTCCCAAGTGCTGGGATTATAAGAGCATGCCACCATGCCCAGTCTCAATCGCTGCCTCAGTGCATCCTGGTCCCTGCACCTGCTTGCAAGTGCTTTAATCCACTGAGCTATTTGGATAGACCATTTTTAAGATTTAACTTTTTTTTCCCCCTGAGATAATTTGAGTTCAGGAGGAAGGACACAGGTCACTAGACCAAAGCTTCTGGTGATGGGATATTTCTGTTAGCCTCAGT